AATGCCGTTCCAAGTTTCTTTATTTTTATTTGCATTCCCAGACGTAATCCTTTAATTGTTTTTGAATGGATCTTATTTTACATTACAAAACAATGTCCACTGTTTTCTATTACAATACTGAATGAAAAACACACGTTCTGCTACAATCTTGTATGCATCATTGTCAAGTTAGCCTGTTTTATTAGTGACCTTATTATGAACTTTTTAGATCAAACATTGAAGTGTTTAAAGCATTTGGTGCTGACATTGAAGTGACTTACAGGAGAGCACGAAACAAGACATACATTACCTGCACTTCACACTTCTGAGCCAGAAAAGAATGATGCAGCATCGTGCGTCATAATCTGCAGTATTTCACTATGCGCTGCCTGGTTGTAGTTTTTTAAAATAGCAACTTCAAAAAAGGATTCAGAGGCAAAGATTTGATGCTATTGATTCTGGATGAAAATTCTGGAGTCTGCAAAGCCAAGAAAAGCTCAGGAACACCTAAAATAAAACAGTCTGGCAGATGTGAGACACGCTCTGTAGTTTCTGTGTTGGACATCAGATCACCTCGACATGGAAGTGAACTTTTATTTGGGCTGTCTCTCTCTCCCAGCCAACGTCAGTGAGTCTATTTTTCTTTCCCCTATGGCACACACTTCCAGTGAGAAATGCAATGTAACCTAAAACAGCCACATAAAGAGGACACTTCAAATGATCTGTAAACATGCACCCAAAAGTGTTCTGGCTACTTCTCTTATGATATCGATTGACATGCTATTTTGTACAGGTGTTCATGGTCCCCAGAGTACGATTGCTATTGGCTTTAGTGATCCACGGACTTTTCCTGTAGCACCAGCAGGTCAAACGATTGAGTAATGCAGTGAAATATCTCCACATCTACTCTGGATTTGTACAATCTCTGGTGCAGATATCAGGGTGATTCCCTGTGGATGAATCCTAATGACTTCACTAATCCCCTGACATGTTTTATAATGACACAAGGACTTTAAAAAGTACAAATTGTATAATTCAAGTTTTCCTCGTTAATCTGTCAAATAACCCATTTCTAAATTCTTAAATTAAATATTTTCAAATTGAGTAAATCGTCAATCACGGCTCATGCTAGAAGTGGTTGCGAGTGGCTTCATTTGGGAACTTGTGTGTTTCTAGATTTACGGCTCCCATAAATTGCCGTTGAAGAACGCAAATTGACTGCTGATTAAATTGTTAAAGGCATCGTTTGACATTTTGGGCCAGAGGCTTGTTTTCTTTCTTGGCCAAGGTCTGATAGGAAGATATATATTCAACAGAATCCTCATGTGTATCACATGTCAATGAGAAACTGAAGCCAGCAGCCCGTTAGCCTAGCCTAGCATAAGGGACCTTTGGCAATCCTTGTGATACTCCAAGAAATGAATATTTCCCATAAACTCCCATATAAAAACTACATATTAAACCAAAAAAACTAAATTTTTTAACTAGTTAACTTTACAGGCAGGTTTCTATCCAGACAGAACCAGCCTCGCTGTTTGTCTCCAATCTTTAAGCTAAGATAAGCTAAGCTTAGCACCCTGTGGCTCCAGCTTCATAAGTCATGCACAGACAAAAGAGTAATATCGAAACTTTAATTTCTCTCCTAAAATATTGAGCTATTCCTTTAACAAGTTGTTGTTACTTGATGTTATTGAAAAGAAGGAAGTCTTGTTTGCAAATGCTTTCATCGTGACGGTTTAACTAAAGCGAACATGCAGTTTTGTTCCATTTATCTGACACGTAAATAGCTCTCTTGCATACAATCTAATCAGAATCACTCCTGAATCCACCCTGAGGGGCCCGTGATCGGAGCTGAATGCAGCAACAACATGAGCACGAGAGTCGAGCGACGTGAAACCCGTGCATCTGTTTTCGTTTGGGCTTTGTTTTGACTGAAGCCCCTGTGCGGTTCCGTTGAGAGCCTCGCCGGGCCTTCACACATCACTCTGCATTCCTGAGGTGGTACGACGCACGCGCCCGGGCCGCTGCTCGGGGGCCTCGACAGGATGAGTCATTCAAGAGAAGCTCGGTGAATTAACAAAAAAAAGCTCTCAGACCCTAAAAATAGTTTCTCTCTGAACTGGTTTCAGCGTATGTGACTCATTTGATGTGTGTGTGAACGCAACGGGACAACAGATGATCAGAGCGCTTCAACCTGTGTAGTGGATGCTGGGACTGTGCATGTGGACTCCATGTGCTTTGTCTAGGCGTGCGTGCACGTACGCCTGTGGGAGTGGTGGTTTTCAGTACAAACGAGATCAAAACATGTTGGACAAACCGTCGCCATTGTGGTGTTTTTACTGTTCGTGGTCCAGCCCTCTTTGACCAGCGGATGTGAAATGCAGAAGTGTGCATTGAATTGAATTAGCGGCCGGCTAAATGCATCAAATGTGAAAGGAAAATAAAAAAAACACAGTTGCAATAAATCTACTCGTGCTCTTCTGCGGCCAAGCCAGGCTTGTCCAAATGCAAAGGTTCCGAGCTGCAGTTTGGAAAAAGCTCAAAGGAACTAATGATAGCTTGGGGCTGCATGTAATGGAGAAGAAGGCTATCATGTGAAAACGAGCGAGGGGGGAGAATCGAACCGTCCACGGTTGTGGTGCAGTTTTGTGTAGAACTCAATTTTAAGAGGACCTGCCCTCCTTCACTCCACTAAATGGAAGAGTAGCCTCACGTTTCCAGCACATGGAGCCCCAGACGTCTACCTGCCCCCCCGCCGGTGTAGCTGACCCAAACATGGGATGCAAACAACAACTCCGTCCGCACTCATTTAGCTCTCCTCCTCAACGCTTAAGAATCCCCGTCGCGGTTCGGAGCCTCTCTCCTAATGAAGCACAATGAAAAGAAGGTAATGAAAAATATTTACCCGCAGCCCAATGAAGCGGCTGGTGAAGTCGACGACTCCCCTTAACAAAAGCCATGTGCTTGTTCTCGTAAAAATGTGTTTTTGTGGCACACATCTCTGAGGCGTTGGCCCGTGTGCCAGTGAGTGAATGTGTATGAGTGTGGAAACAGGCACTTTATCAGGAGATTCATGCTGCAGCTCTCGCCATGCCAAGTCCTCAGCGGCGATATCCAGCAACCGGACAGAGTTATCATAAAAGTTTATCAAGCTGATGATTGCTTGCAGTGCGGTTACTCTGATGCTCTAAGTTTTCCTGCAAAGCACCATAAAGAACCGATTTAGTGAACATGCATTAAAAGGATCTGATGGAACAGCTGACTTTGGTACTTTTACAGGCGTGTATCATTCACCACTGTCACGGTGTGGTTCACTTCCTGTCTTATTTTGTAGTTTTCTGCCACTCGTGTCCCCGGGTAACTTCACTTCCTGCTTGGTCCTGTCGTCCCCTGTGATTGTCTGATAGTTTCCACCTGTGTCCAATCACCTGCACCTCCCTTGTGTATTTAAACCATGTGTGTCTGTTGTCACTTGTCGCGTCATTGTCTTTTGTCACGGATGTCCCTGTCTACCGTCTGGATGTTCCTCGTTCCTGCCTGCCCTTTTTTCCCCCCCCGGTTCGTGTGTGTGTTTTTGCCCGTTGGCCTTTTTACTTTGTTGGAGTTTTTGACTATTAAAGTCTTTTGCGTTAAAGTCTGCGTTTGAGTCCTGCCTTCCCTGACAACCACGGGCAAATCGTCTCCTCATATTAGGGAGATTTCCTGAGCAGAGTGGCTTGAAATGCAAATATGTGCAAGAAAAAGGGGAAACATATGTTTGTCCACCACAAATTGATGACGTGACGGAAACTGGGCTGAAAAGTCAGTTTGACAGTGAAAGGATGCAGTGGAAACCACGGCCAGAAACCAGGGTCAAATCTCTGAATCATACGTGGTTTTCTCAGGGATTTTGTTTGTGTTGCTCTTACTTAACCTGGAGCAAACTCCTAGCACCTTTCTCACCAAAGTTAGTCCCATAAACTGAACCTAACCTATTTAAGTACCAACAGTCAGGGGAAAAATGTTTAGTCCAACTTGAATTATAGTGGACAGACATTCAATGTCCCCGGCAGATGAACCTTACTTGTTGGACCTGTTCCTCTCAAGCCACAAAGGCTTGATTTTGTTCTATATTTTTGGTGACCAGCTTTCTGCAAAACTAATGACATTCCCATCAGACTTGGTTTGAGCTGCCGTTACTGTGTGATGACAGCCGGCTGATCAACTTAAAACTCTCAAAAATGAAAATATTGAAGAAACTTTTTTGAGGAGAGACATTTGCTGTTCCTGCGTCTGAATGGTGTTTACAAGGTCACAGTCCCTTCAGAGACCTCCCCGAAGCCACCACGAGGACGTGACACGAGAAGCCGCGTAAATCCGTCAGCCGTGACTTGTTGAGAAAACACAAGGGAACAAGCCGGACCGACCTTCTTTTTTTTCTACAAATGCCTTTGCATTCCCACGACGTTGGGAGGCCTCGCGCCACCGGCCCGCTGAACCTCTGTCCGTTTCCATGAGATATTTTAAGAAAAGGGGTCCCGCGTGGCGAAGGCGCTCTCACTGGCCCATGCGCTGATTGGATCCAGATGTGCGGAGGCCTCGCTGCAGCGCTGATTGATAGGGGTCAGGATGAAGCGGGGAGTCTGATCCCCTTCTCTGTGGCTCTCTTTCCTACTCCTGCTGTCTGTCCAGCCTGCTGTCAGGTCGTCTGCCGATGGCCGCGTGCTACGAACCCCGTTGAGACGCCGTGGAGCTTTAAATCTCGCTCTTTGCGTCGCTGTTTTAACGGACTCTTTGGCAGTCGTTTGCCGCGCGGTTCATAAGTACAGAGAATCAGATTTCAATGAACCTTCCTGTCTGCCACGCTGTGAAACGTTAATTATAGTGAATGCAAAACAGAAGCAATTATTGTTAATCGCTCATTTTAAGACATCAATTGCTTTTGCATCGTGCAAATGTTTCGTTTATTGTGTCCTTCGTCTAATTCGCCGGCTTCTGGTGAAGGTGAACGTGACTGTGAATGTCTGTCCCTTTTCCCTCAGGACCATGCCGAACGTGCAGAGCTCTGCTGCCTTGCTGCTCTGGAGCTTCCTGGCCGGTCTGAGCTTCTCTCTGGACCCGAGAGACCCCAACGTGTGCAGCCTGTGGGAGAGGTGAGGCCTGTCTCACCGCCACGAGCAAACCAATGTCACTCTTGTTGGTCAACACATTCATGCATCGCTTAATGATGTCAACTTTTAGGAAGAAAAAAGGCTTTGAGCTTACGTGCTTGCTCTGGCAGGAAATAACTTTTCCTACTTTTAATAGTAAATTAGAATCAGCAGGATACGTGACTGACGGTATTTTTTTTTTTTTGCTTCTCAGCTTCACCACATCGGTGAAGGAGTCCTACTCGCATCCTTATGACCACGTGACGGAGGAGCCCTGCTCCGACCCCCGGACCTCCTACAGATGCACGCGCCACAGGTAGCGCAGTGACCCTTTTCCCGCTGCGCCCGACTCCCTGTTGCTCTCAAGAGGGTCCGAGCGTCCCGATTGACTTGGTCTTTTCTTTCAGGATCACCTACAAGACGGCCTACAGGCAGGCGGTGAAGACGGACTACCGGAAGAGGTTCCAGTGCTGCCCGGGCTACTACGAGAGCAGAGAGAAATGTGTCCGTAAGTAATCATGGACGACGCTTAATCCATCAACAAATAGAGGTTTTTAATCTTTGGTTTTATTCTGCATCACAGTTACAAAACCCTCTCCACCCTCTAAGGAATTAGGTTTCAAAGTTATGGAAACCATTTGAAGTTTAGTCTTAATTTCATTTCTTTTTGGTGACATTAAAGTTGTTAAAACTGGGATCAAGTCTGTAAATTTCCACAAAATGTTACTTTTTATTTATGGAAAGTACACGTGTCCGTAGTAGCTCAAAAAAGGCCCCAAATCCCTGAAATACATCCTGGGGATTGACCTCAGTGTCCTCAACTGTAGCCACGCCCCCAGCCCCACCCATGGGTGGTGTGTATAAACAGAAATATAAATGAGTTGTCTCATAATTGACAAATACTCTGCATTTACCATGTCTTCATGACACTTTAGGCTTGATACATTATTGTAATTAAGGGAATTAAGAGACAAAAAAGGGATTTTTTTTTTTAACAGTGATTATGTCCCATTCTGAAAGCCGCTGGTGCACATGTGAAGGAGACCACGTAGAAACCCAGCAAAACCCAAATGTCTTTGTTGACCTCTTTTTCCATGAAACATGCATAGTCAACACGAGCAGCACGTGATGCTGGAATTACCACAATTATGGGTTCAGTTCCCACTGGGGCTTCTCTTGCTGATACTGGCTGTCCCAAGTGGAACTTTAAAACTTAACTGAGTGTTGCTGACACTTTAAAAATCCTCCTCCTAAGTTTCATGTTAGTTCAAGGATTTCAGCTTTTGCCATCAACGAAGCAAATGTTATATGTTTCAATGAGAATAGTTAGTTTAACCCTTCCTTTGATTTTTGAAGGTTTGGTTTTATTTTAAAATGACATATTTTGTGACCACGATGGAAACAAATGTACGTCTTGTAGATCTGCGAATAAACACTTCTACGTATGGAGCCAGTTAGCGCAACATCATCCTGATAAACGGAGCTTTATATGAGATTTACTAAAGTTTACCGTAGTTGGTAGTTGCATTTCAATGTAAATGTTTGAGTGCGCTGGTTTAAAAGAAGTAAACAGTCGGTTCAGTGTTGTCTGAAAATACCAAACGATGCGTCCTCCCCCGGTTTGATGACACACCGTTATTGTGGCCAGTCAGCGGCGACATACATAAATAAAGTCAAACCGTACCAGGTTTGAGAAACTACACAAACCTTCACATATATCGCTGGATGATCTCATCCGGGCATGATGGTAATAACAAGGCGCTTGACATTTCGAAGAAAAATGTCTTCATTCGGGGGAGAAAATGTGTATTTTTGGTTGTTTATTGTTGAGCCACCTTGCACAGCAGTGATGTGTGTGTGTGTGTGTGTGTGTGTGTGTGTGTGTGTGTGTGTGTGTGTGTGTGTGTGTGTGTGTGTGTGTGTGTGTGTGTGTATATATAGTTTTCTTTTGTAGCCAATCATGAAAGCCTTTGATTTCACTGACTGACATCAGAAAGCCAGTTGCCGTTTTAAGCTTTATAATTGAAATCTCTCAGCCGTCAACGCGTCGAACGCGACTCCGCCTACCTTCACTTTCTGTGCGCTGCGTCTTCATTTCATAATCACATATAATTTGATTTAATCACCTCCTTCAACCCCCAAATCTCCAGCCTTCAGTTTTCAAACAATTTCAACAAGGGAGAAGAAAATAATCAGTTAAATTACTGTTTATTTAAGAGACAAAATCTCCATGTGCTTTATGCAGCATTTGGTTAGAAAACACTTGTGTGGCAGCAAAGGAAGGCGATTATTAGTGTGCAGTAATGAATGCAGGTTTGAATTCACGTGATTTTGGAGAGACGTTAAGAGGAGCTTCCTTCACGGAATGAACCGATGCAGCTGTTGGCTGACGGCTCACACGCCTGTTTATGATCGGTGGAACAAACTTAGAGCGAAAGAACTCGGTTGAACAGATTTTCAATTGAGAGGAAAAAAACCTCCCTTGAAATAGTGCCCTTCTGAGATATACTGAATGTATGTGGTTATTGGTAATATCAACGCTGATTCCCTTAGCACACACACACACACACACACACACACACAGGATGGATTTAATTAGTAACTTGGGGATGTTAGAAAAAGTAAAAACCTGTGGAATATGATATTTCAGGAAGACGTGGCAGATATGACGTTGATTAAGTGTTAGTGTTACATCTGTTAGAATACCAGTAAAACAATATGCCTCACACAACGCATGGCGAGACTCTTCTAACTCGCAGCTCGTCCTTTTCCGTAAGTTCTCATCGTTCTCCTTCACGTCCTCACTTTCCATAGAGGTCAAGGAAAAGTCAGTTGGAAAAGACATCAGGATGTCATTTTCTCAAACACTCAACCGCAGCCAACGTCTTAACACACACGCGATTTGTCATTTGTAACGATGTCCCCTCCGACATGCAACCATTAGCGCTAAATGACACACGGTTGGACGATGACAGGCGCCGCTGATGAGGGAGCTCTCGAGCTCATCTCGCTGGGCTCGTCCCATGAAAACACAAAGGGTGGGGGGGGGACGGGACGGGACCACTGCTCTGCACAAAGCCGCCACTGACGTTTGTTTCCTCGCCAACAGCTCGCTGCACCAAGGAGTGCGTCCACGGCCGCTGTGTCGCTCCGGATCGCTGCCAGTGCGAGGGAGGCTGGCGAGGCGACGACTGTTCCAGCGGTATGATTCATCCTTTTCCCCTCAGACGTCTCCTCACTGGCGTTCTTCTCCCGGCTCCTTTTCCCTCCCCCCTCTCTCCCTCTCTCTCTCTCTCCCCCTCTCTCTCTCTCTCTCTTCAGGTGCGCGCACAAATAAAATGACACCACAGGGAAAGACAGACTTCGTCAAGTGGCCGGTCTCACATCGGCCCGACAGTCAGGAGGCCAAGGGAGCATCACCACGTCCACAGCGATGAGTCGTGACCTTCGGCCCAGAGACCAGTTTAATACACAAGAAAGGAGTGTTATTAATTAGTTAAATAAAGCTGAACAGACATCAGAGCTCATAGTTACTCCATGGTTGAATAATAGTTACTGTAGTTAATGTAACCCGGCTCGTCTCCCATCTCCCTCAATGTCATCATCCAAACAATGCGGCGTGTCAAACCGCGGCCACGTTGTGCGAGGCCGCCGTCCCCCCGAACCAGAAAATGAAGTTTTCCACGAGCTTCAGCCCGTTTCAACGCAGTCGGCTGGGTCAATAGTACAGACCCCCCCCCGTCTCCCCCCTCCTACTTCTCCTCTGCAGAAAGAGGGAATTAGCTTTAACAGGCAGCGGTTGGTGTCTTGACGGGGGGGACGATGGGAAGGGGAAATGGAAAAAGTTACCCCTCTCTCTCTCTCTCTCTCTCGCGCATGGACAAGGTCTCTCCGTCTCTCCTTACACCCCCTCCCTCCCTCCCTCCCTCCTCCAACTCTCAATTAAAGTTCCTTTTTCTTTCACTGCTCTTATACTCCCACTCCTCCTCCTCCTCCTCCTCCTCCTCCTCTCTCCAGCTTTGGCTCCACAGTATTATCCTATAACGGGGTATTTTGGATACTTCCTGGATGCCTGTGTGTTGAGCTATCCAAGTACGGGAAAGAGGAGAGGGGACTGAGGTTTCCGTAGTGACCACTTTTAGGGCTCTTTGCCCATTAAATTGGAGAAAGGAAGAAGGTGAGCGAGAAGTGTGCTCGTTCTCCACAAAGTGACAAGAAACAGTCAGCAGTGTTTTATGTGATGTTTCTGGATTCATATTGAAGGAGATCACCGTGTTTGTAGTGTCTCTGTCCGCGAGAACCACAATTCTCCACAAAGTGGACGTTCCACGATGGCACGAAGCAGCCCTGTGACACCGCAGCTGATCCGAAAGGCCTTTATTCAGAGTTTATTCAGCTTAAGAAGTGGAACAATGATCCCAACGCATGGAGGGACACTTCATCACTCAGTGTATCGGCGCCAATGAGTACAAAGTGAGGAGAGGATGAGGAATAGGAATATGTTGGTGATGCCAATGGTTGATGACGTGAGCTCCGTTCCAGAGCAGATTCGAATGGAGGGACGCAAAGTGCTGCGATCACAAACCAGCAGTTAAGATATCAAGGAGATTATGTGAACCCAAACCCGCTGCTCGGACAATTCTCAAGGGGGGAGAGCAAAAAATGTTCCCACCATACCAGTGTGCATTCCTACAGAAAGACAGCGAAGAGAGGCCGGCTCTGATGTTTGGGATTGTTGCTACGGCGATTAAATCCGGTCACGCTCGCGCTAAAAAAGTGTGGCTGATGAAGGCAAACTGGCTGGACGAAGGCGTTTACACGCAGGTAAACAAACGCGTCGGAAAAGGGCTCGGACGCTTCCAGCTGCTCGCTCAAAACGCACGACGTCACTCGTCCAGCGTCTGGATCGGTCCTCCTGCCCACGGCGCTGCACAGCCTTTGCTAAATCTCCCCTGTCGTCCTGGAGAACGTCTGTGCAAACATTACCGCCGGCCCGGCTGAGGTTCTCATTAGTCAACGTGACACAGCCCCCCCCCCCAACCCCCCCTCAATATCCATACAGAGAACCAGCGACGGTACGGGTCGTTTAAACAAAAAGAAGCAATAAACACCACACGGTCTGCGGCAGCTCCAGGCCAAATTTGGCCGTGCTCGACCCTGGTGCTTTTCAAAGCTCCAGCAGGGCTCGAGTGCAGCAGAGCCAGAGGGGGGGGGGCTCCTTGCCCAATGCCTGCTGCTCAGATAAAAGCGAGATATTGTTGTAATTGTTTTTGATGTCCCGATCGGATGCCGCGTCTTAGCGTCGATGTCCAACGCAGTCTGAAGGAAATGTGAAGAATGGACACTCGACCGATGAGGCCTGAGGACGGAGACCCGTCCGTCGTGAGTTGAAACCCAAACCGTGGGAGTCTCTGCGCTGCCCTCTGACCCCCCCCCAATCCTGAAGCTCCTGTAAAATGATCCGTTCAAAACTCGTCCATCTTGCGAGCTCCATGCAAATCTCCGCGGCAATTCATAATTATTAGTTGGAAACGTGAGACTCCAAAGGGTCAAAGGGGGGAGGTTTGGATGTGAAACCCGGAGGGAGGAGATCGACAGTGATGTCTGGAATGGTCACAACTTCAATTCCTTCCCGAGAACTCGTTCTCCCTGGTTCCTGCTCTGGTTTTCATCCGTTGTTGTTGAATGTGATGGGATTTGTTTCGGAGTGTTTGCTTTTCACGACGTCATATGTTACACCGCGGCGCTTGGGAGGAAAACAAAATGAGGGAAAACAAAACTGACACTAAATGATCGCACGTGCATCACATGCAAGTTACAATAATCATCGGTAATCTTATTTTGCTTTCGGTTATTTCCTTTCCAGCGTTGCAGAGAATGTTTGACATTGTTCAGGGAAGAATGTGACTTACTGGAAGCCGACTGGTTTGAGTCGTAGGAAAATGTGGGCAATTAAAGTGAGAGTGGCGGTGGAAACGTTTTTGAAAGCGAGGTGCCCGATGTGAATAATCCAAGTACGATCACTGAATATTCAGCACCGTCCGGAGCCCAGAAACGAAACGAAACGAAACAAAACGAAACAAACGTAGTGAGTGAGATTAAGCAAAAACCAACCAAACCTCTGCGCTCACAGTTCACTTTTCCCAAGACGCCGTTCTTCACGATCACTGAACAGCCGTTTGCTCCGTGACCTTTCAGCCTGCGACGTCGCCCACTGGGGGCCGGCCTGCAGCCATCAGTGCCGGTGTGTGAACGGCGCCGCCTGCGACCCGGCCAAGGGGACGTGTCAGTGTCCCCCGGGCTTCGTCGGACGCCTCTGCGAGGGGTCCTGCCCGGACGGCACCTTCGGCACGGGCTGCCTGCAGAGGTGCGAGTGCGGGACGGGCGGGTCGTGTGACGAAGCCAGCGGAGAGTGTTTGTGTCGGGACGGATTCACGGGGACGTTGTAAGTGCACAGAAATAAAAACTAATATTAGGACGCGGATGTGTTGATTTTGTAACAAAAAAAACTGTTGATTCCAAATTGAATTCTTGAATAGTATTTTGTAATAGTTTGATATTTCTGATATTTTGAATGCTTAGCCCTGAATGCTAATATCATAGACAGCAGGAAATATGTTTTTAAGGTTTAGCGTGAATATAAGAGTTAAACCATTGTAGCTGAAATGACACCGTTTACTTTAAATGAGCCATTACTTAATTCAGATACTTGATACTTAATTACACAGCAGTACGCTTAGTGATGGTAGGTTTCTCCAGAGGTCTCTCCGTCACGGATCCGTCAGGTCGGACCAAGTTTTTGGTTTCCACAGCTTTATCATCCATGAGTCATTTGTTACGCCCGGTTTTCAGTCGCCTCTCAGGATGAGTAAGCGATGAAAACTCCTCCCAACGGAGTCCGAGTGGAAACTCTGCGAGTGTGAGCAACACCATAAGAATGACTGCTTGGCAACGTTTGGATAAAGCTCCCTGATGAATTGTGTATTCAAAGTATTTCCATGTTTATTTCACCCCAAAGGCGTATTAGAAAATATAATATGAATACAAGTTTTAGCCAGAAAACCTGATTGGTTGAAGACACGTTCCAAGCGCGCCGATAATTCCCACACAGCTGCTGGAATGACAAATCAGAGAGTTTGTTTAATGCCGTTGCAAAAGAGTTGTTTTATTACAATATAATAATGGCTCTATGCACTAAAGGTTGTCTCAGAAGGTGATTTAGTCTGTATACAAATATATTTTAAAAAATGTATGCAGTATAAAGTATAAAAAGTAAAAAGCACAAATTTTTCCAAAATTACACATTTTATATATAATAATTATTGACAGTAATGTGTGGATCACTTTAATGTTGCAGCTGTCAATCAAAGAATTTTGGCTCTGTAGAACATTTCAGACACGGTGGTAATCCAAAACACTTGTAGGCTTGAATAACCGTTTTCATAAAGAACTCATTTTGTTCATTTTGTTCCTGAGGACACATGGAGTGTTTTTGACTGAAGTCAAGCTGTTATTAATCGTCTCCGTCCTCTCTCCCCCAGCTGTGAGAAGCCGTGTGCCAACAAGTGCCAACCGCGATGCTCCTGCCAGAACGGAGGCATCTGTAAAGGCAAAGGGATCTGCGATTGCCCTCCTGGCTGGACGGTATGTTTCCGGGTCAAAGGTCGACCGACACTTATCTGAGCAGGTCGCCAGAGTTTGAACTATGATAAATGTAAAAAAAAAAATAAAAAAAACATTGGAAGACTTGCATGAGGAGAAGAGATGGTGATCTCATCAGGGAGTAAACTTTAATAATACTTAGTAGTATTGAGTAACTGTGAAAGTTGCACATTTGGCTCCAGTTTTTTTAATGATGCATTTGAGTTCATTTCTTCCGCCTCAATGTGCTTTTGTAGGGTCCCGTTTGCACGGTGCGATGTCCAGAGGGAAGGTTTGGACAGAACTGTGCTGATGAGTGTGTCTGCCACAACAGAGGAAAATGTGACCCCGAAACCGGACAGTGCCAGTGTGCTGAAGGCTTCACGGGTAACAGGTGTGTGCTTGTGTGTTTGTTCTCGTGCGTGTTCCCGCCTTAAAATCTCAACATCAGCAAACAGAACCATTCATTTCTCCGCTCTAAGAGAAGAACACGAACATAAAACTGTCTACGGACTTGACATCTCATTTCGGTATTTCATCATCCTCATATATTTGATGTCCTTTGGCATCAAAGCACCACAGCCCAGCTGTGTTGGTTAACACAAGCATTCTGCGCGCACTAAACGATTGTCCCAATGTACGATTTCTAGTCATTAAAACGGAAACCATCGCAATTTTCTGTCAAAGAAACGCAGCCTCAGCAAACGTACTTAAAAAACGACTTACAAAACTATACGTAAAATTAGAGTAGCACTCTGCTCCAGTGCTTCCATGTGTTTATCCAACCTTCTGTCCCGCTGCCCTCAGGTGCAATGAGGAGTGCGCTGCAGGCACTTACGGTCAGGACTGCAAAGGCGTGTGCAAGTGCGCCAACGGCGCTCGCTGCTACAACATCAACGGCGGCTGCCTGTGCGAGCCGGGCTTCAGCGGTCCACACTGCAGGGACAGCATGTGTCCGCCGGGCCAGTACGGCATGCACTGCGAGCGCAAGTGTCTCTGCCAGGAGAAGCAGACACTCAGGTGAGCGGATGTCCTCGGGGTCGGTTTAAGCAATGCAAATGTTTCCCGTCGAGGCAGAAACCGTCCAATCACGGATGAGCCAAAATGTCAGTGAGCACATGCAGCCAAAGACAGATTCCGGGTGTGTTTTGCAGCTGTGCATAAAAAAGAAATCAGTGCTTGTTGTTTACTTTTGCTTCAGAGTGGAAGAAGCTTTCAGCTGCTCACAAGTCGGTCAGGCTTCATTCTGTGTCGAGCTTCACTCTCCAGGCTTCAGCCTGTTTCCATGGAGGCTCCCCACCCTTCACACCCCGTTAGAGCCACACAGGTGTTTTCTTCTTCTTGGGTTAAAGGTCACGGCCTGTGGGCATCAGTTACTCAGTGGGTGCTACTTACATTGAGCGCCGACTGCGTTCGCCAAACCGGTAGCGTCTGGCGTTCTAGCGCCGGCCCTCCCTCGCTGTTCCTTTGTCATTTTCCTGATGACTCAATCACACATTTTTCTTTGGTTTTTCGTTGTCCAGCTGCCACCCGATGAAAGGAGAGTGCACCTGCCAGCCGGGCTGGGCGGGACTGTTGTGCAACGAGACGTGCGCTCGCGGTTTCTACGGCCCCGGCTGCCTGGAGCCCTGTCTGTGCGTGAACGGGGGGGTGTGCGACGTCGCCACGGGGGGATGCCAGTGTGCCCCCGGGTATACGGTGAGGGGGGAAGTTTGCCGTCGTTCATTTAGGATTCTGGGATTTCTTTTCACTTCGTCGGGCTCAAATGTGATGACCTATTTGTGGATTTGCCTCACCTGTCGTCATCATCAAAGTCAATGTCTCTTATGTCTCTGCAGGGGGCTCACTGTGAACATCTTTGTAAAAGTGGCACCTACGGCAAGAACTGCTCCCTGGAGTGCGCCTGTGAAAACTTTGTCGACTGCTCGCCAATTGACGGGACTTGCTTCTGCAAAGAAGGTAAAAGCATAATCACACAATCAAGAGGAAACGGGGCCGATCGGTGAAATGACATCCTATCAAACCCGGCCGCCGGGCCCTTTGTGCGTCTGCAGGCTGGCACGGACCGGAATGTTCCGCCCCCTGCTCCGAGGGAACCTGGGGCCCGGGATGCAACACCACCTGCCACTGCGCCAACGGGGCGAAATGCAGCCCGGCAGACGGGTCCTGCACCTGCACGGCCGGCTGGCAGGGGGCGCGCTGCGACCACTCGTGCCCGGTAAACCTGCCACGACGAGGCTGTGTGGCTTTTGCTGTTTGTTGGTGAAGTGGCACAAAGGAGAGAATCGGATAATATAATTTAATTATTTTTTGTGTAGCTATTCATTTTAAATCAAAGAGAAGCAACAAAAGCATCTTTAAATACGTATACAAAAATATATGTTTCAAGAATCACTCCGAACAGGGAGTGGATAGTTCTTGAAAACCAACTTCCAGCCATCAATGGACAACTACTAGTTAACATTCCCTTAATAAAAACTACAGGATGAGATTTAATCAAAAGAAATAATAAACTGCAAATGAAAAGGTAAAACAAGAAAAAACTTTGTTGATACTTTAAGACATTTTCGCTCCAAAGATGCTTGTTTATAGATAGAATATATGTAAATATATATATAATACAAATAAACTTAGTGTGTATGCACACTAGATTATAATAAATGTACATAGCAGGGTGCCATGTTTCACTGAAACCGTTTGTCTCTTGGACTAAAGCCACAGCATTGCGTGAAAACACATGTCACGTTGTAAAATAATAATTAGGGTGGAAGATAAGAAAAATGAACGTTTGTTCTATTCGAGCTGAGCTCGATAAGACGCAGCCCAGCTCTTCATCCCTTACCTCACCTTCTGTATGTTTTAATCTGTGGTTTGGACGCGTGCCTCTCTTGTCTCCTACGTGCCAAGTACCCCGCCTGCCCCCCCCTCCCCTGCCCGGCTGTGTCCATACATCCACACATTGCCAGCGTAGTATTTAGTCTGACTCTGACCGAGCTGGCCGAACGTGGAAGAGATTCCCCTGACAGTTCTCTGCCCGTTGGCATTTGCTCACATGTGCAGATGGGCACGTTTGGACCGGGCTGCCTGAAGAGGTGTGATTGCGTTCACGCCGACGGCTGCCAGGCAACCACCGGGGAGTGCCGCTGTCTGCCAGGCTGGTCGGGTAAGTGATGACGTCCTGCCGGTGTGTCGCTGCCGGCTCGGCTTTGGTAGCGACACGACTATTGGAGTTCCAGGTTTTAGGCCGCTGCGCCTCTATTTGATCTGCTGTCTGACCGACAGACCTCAAATCACTGCGAATTAACATTGTGACTTTTGTACTTGCAGCCGTGCATTTTCCTTCCAAAAGCTGTAGTGCATTGGTCTAAATTCAGTGCTTGAGGAAGCAGCATAAAAACACAAATAATGGTTCTTTATCCCAAATCATGTGCAGAAGTAGAATCAGCAAAAAGCGCCTGAGGCATTTGGAATTACTCGTTATCACTAGATGATGGCAAGCTGGATGCATTTTGAATATCGAACATATTGATGAATGCGTGGCTGTCACCTGCATGGAGCATATTTGCACAGCGGTACTGAATGGTCTCCCCCCTCCCCCCCCTCCTCCCCTTCTGTTCCTCCAGGTCCTCGCTGCAGCGAGCCGTGTTCAGAGGGCCTGTGGGGGCGCCACTGTAACCAGACCTGTTTCAAGCACTGCCCCAACAGCGACACGTGCCTGAGGGAAACTGGGGCGTGCGTGTGTCGCCACGGCTACTGGGGGGTCACCTGCCAGAACAGTGAGTGCCACAGGAGAGCAGGAGTGCGCCGGACACGACGTCCGCTTCGGGGCTCACTCCTTGTTGTGCCTCTTTCCCAGAATGCAGAGCGGGCATGTACGGGGACCAGTGCGGCGAGTCGTGCCCGTCCTGCGGCCAGTCGTACCGCTGCCACCACGTGAGCGGAGAGTGCGATTGCCTCCCTGGACACACCGGACCCGACTGTGATCAAGGTGGCCGTTGAACGCCATCAACGATGAGCGCGGGCGTTTGCAGGACCTCTTCACTGATACACGACGTCGTTTGTCTGTTTTGCAGTTTGTCCGGTCGGCTACTACGGCAAACAGTGCTCTCAGGTGTGCGTCAACTGTGCCAACAACTCCACGTGCGACCACCGGGACGGTCACTGTGAATGTCTGCCCGGCTGGACCGCCACCGACTGCTCCATACGTGAGTACGGCGAGCACGCGGGGGCCCCTCCTGCAGGACGACACATGAAAAGTGACCTCTGATGGAGAAACGAGGCCGATCGCTCCAAGAGGGAGACCTGTGGTGCTTTTGAAGGGCAGGTGTTATGGGTAAAAAAGTAGCTAGACAGCAAGATAATGAGGTTTTTTTAAGATTTTGTATGTATATATAATCTTTCAAATAAAAAATCCGGTTGGATTTTCCCCAAACGCAGGTTTACATATTCAAGGCTTTGGTTTTACTACCCTGCATGAAAAAGAAGAAGAGGGAGGTCATTCTGAGCTGAAACTATTATTTGATTATTCGGGTTGTTGTACATCGATGTTCTGTTGATTTACCAAATAAATCAGCTAATGGTTTCAGCTCTACAGTCGTATTATTATTCTTGTAGATATATATATATTTCATACATACATCATTATATATTTGTTACATGGTGCATAACGCGCGGATGGGAAACGTCCCTTGTGTCTTCCAGCCTGTAGTCCAGGACGCTTCGGTCCATTCTGCACTCAGACCTGCTCCTGTCCGACCAACCTGGTCTGTGACCGACGCACCGGAGACTGTGTGTGTGGGAGTGAGGGAGAGGACTGTAAGCAAGGTGTGCACACAAACATCTTGTCTTCTTCTCATTCAGACGTAGCGGATACAAGAAGATAGAAGACATACTCTATATATATATATATATATATATATATATATTATTATTATTATTTCTTATGTCTTCTATCTCCTGTTGGACAGACTCTGTGAAGTCGGGCAGCGTGATGGTGCCCCTCCCCCCCGGCGAGAGGGAGTCGTGGGGAGCCATCAGCGGCATCGTGGTGCTCGTCCTCTTGGTGGTCCTGCTGCTCGCTCTGCTGCTGCTGTACCGCCGCCGGCAGAGGGACAAGCAGAGCAACACGCCGACCGTGTCCTTCTCCGCCGGCCGCACCGCCGGCTCTGAGTACGCCGTCCCAGGTACTATTCACACGCTGGAGTGACCGCTTTGGTCTTAAAACTGGTTGCCGTGTGGGGTTAAAGGTTATCAGGTGTTGTTAAGTGAGGCTACAAGCACAGGTAGTTTGCATGTGACAATATTTGATCTACATACATGTAACTATGATTGAGGAGGGTAACGACGATGGCCGAACACTGTTAGTGCAACATTCCTTTCATACTGATGACCACTGTTAAATGTTACGTCATCGATACGATGGTAAAAAAAGCGTTCCACAGAGATGCCTTTTATCGACCTTGAGGTAACGTCATTGCCGCAGATGTGATTTGTTTTGGCCCGACAGATGTTCCTCACAGTTACCACCACTACTACTCCAACCCCAGCTACCACACGCTGAGCCAGAACAGGCCCCCGCTGCCCCACCTCCCCAACAACCACGACCGCACCATCAAGGTGAGCGCTTCATCACCTCAGCGGTCGGATGCTGCATTTCATCAACACGCGTGTTCGGAAAATAATAAACGGTGAATGTGTAAGATGTTGAGCCAATGTCTACGGCCTTTCTTTCTCTCCCCGCCCTGCAGAACACCAACAACCAGCTGTTCTGCAGCGTGAAGAACATGGAGCGGGAGAGGCGGGGCCTGTTTGGGGTCGAGAGCAACGCCACGCTGCCTGCAGACTGGAAGCACCACGAGCCGCGCAAAGACTCAGGTCCGTCACGATCAGCGTTCAGACCCGCGGCAGCACTTAAAAAGAGAAAATGATATTCTCATTCAGCAGAGCTTAGATTCTTAAAGCAGCGGTAAATATAAAGCATCAATGGGACAAGAGCAGTGTTGATGCGAGCCGTTTTCCTTCGTTCATCCTCCAGCGTTTCCTTTTGGACAGAAAAGCATTCACATTTGTGTGTGAGACTGTAAAAACGACGAGGCCTTGGAATCACCTGCTGTTGATTTAGCCGGGTTTCCAAAGCAGATCGTCTGCCTTTGATTAGTTTGCCACAAATGAAAAAAGAAAATGCCATGTTTGTCTTTTATTGCTTACAGGAGCTTTTGGAATCGATCGGAGCTACAGCTACAGCGCCAGCCTGGGCAAATATCACCACAAAGGTACTTCCCCGCCATCCTTTCAGGCTTCTCGCTCTTGTATTACCTACCAGAGAGAAATAGCCAAACCATCCAGCAGCAAGCGGATGCTGTACACAACCATCGGTGCATTAGCGTGAAGAGGACACGTGTCTTTAGCTGTGAAGTCCTCGGCTGACCTTGTTCCTGACCTTCACACAGAGCTGAAGGACGCGGTGGCGGAGAGCAGCGGCTCTCTGAACAGCGAGAACCCTTACGCCACCATCAAAGACCTGCCGGGTTTGCCCTTCTGCCCCCCGGAGTGCAGCTACATGGAGATGAAGTCCTCGGTGCCCAGGGAGCGAGCGTACACCGAGATCAGCCCGCCGCCCTTCAGCGCCGCCGCCTTACGCCGAGGTGAGCGACGCGCGCGGCGGCTTCCACCTCGGCCCGCATTCGTGTCTTTTTTGTTCTTGGCTGGTGTGGAATCTCTTCCTGCATCGTTATTATCACAAATAAAAACAAATCCAGGCAGATTGTGTATCAGACATTTAATGTCTTAATGTACGAGGAGGAAGAATTTAGAGGAGACAAAAGTATACAAGTAACTTACTGGGTGTTATTATAATACAGCAGATGCATTCAATTAAAATGCAACTGATAATTATTTTTAGATTCACCCAGTGGATTTTTCTTGATGAATTGTTTGAGAGAAAAATTGGAATACTTTCAAAGATGAACAGAATTCATAATTTACATTTGATTAAAAATACTATAAATTCCCACAATATTGAAGCTGTCATGAGGGAATGTTGTGCTAGAAAAGTAGTGCGATCAATCAATGGACTAATTGTTCCATAGACGCTGTCAGGTCAATGAGGGGGATCCTTTTGATCAGCGTAACACTAATTAAGAGAAGGCGTCATGTTTCCCATCCACGATCAATCTTCAACTCCGAGAGCCGAGACTGAGAAATAACGTGAAAAACTCATTAAGTCTCCTCGTCGAACGTTGGAGTGGGACCTGTCCTGCGGGGGGGGGGGGGAGACGGGGGGGGACGGGGGGGACCCCTCTTGGTAAAAGAACAGGTGTTTACAGGGAAGAAGGCCCCCCGGGGATGAGGAGGTTCTTTTTAACACATCAATAAGGAGCCCGACTCATAAATCACGATGGGACCCCTGCGAAGAACCGAACCCTAAATTCCTGGAAATATCGGCTTGATGTGAGGAAACGGGAGAATGGCTCTGCCCCCCCCCCCCACCCCCCGTCAATAACTGTTATTTACACTCCCCGTATTGGAAATGTAATGGATTCTCTTGTTGTCTATTATTTGTGTCTTCTCATAATAAACTCTACAGCTAAAGTGGGTGATTGTGAGGTGAGATAATTTTGTGCATTGTCTCCCCCCCCCCCCTCAGAGCGTCAGAGTTCCCTCGGCCACGCCCCCTACGAGGACCCCCAGAGCCACTACGACCTCCCGGTGAACAGCCACATCCCGGGACACTACGACCTGCCCCCTGTCCGCCGGCCCCCCTCCCCCAGGAGAACACCCCAGTGACAGTCACCACCAGCGGAGCAAGTCCCCCCCCCCCCCCGGGACAATTTCAGGCCTGTGCAAACTTTTAGGCTCTCCTCACAATCTGAGCTATGGACCCCCCCCCCTCACGAACACACTGAACTGTTAGCAGTGGATGCCCCCCCCCAGTCAACTCAACACTGCCTCTCTGTGGGTTTTAAGGGGTACTGGCCTCACCGTGACAGACCTGTCATCCAGGCCGGGGAGCCAGCGGGCTGCATGGGGGGGCGCGGAGGGGGGGGGGGGGGCTGCAGGGGACGCCGGCGGACCTCCAACTGCATCCACATGTCGTGGGAAAAACCAGCCGGGAGACTTGACACTTAAACGCAGCGCCTGGGGAGTGATTTAAGGTTTTCACTCCGATAAACAAACAAGTTCCCCACACGCGTTTTTTTATATGTGGGTATTTTTCTATTTTTGTTTGTATCAGGCAGCTTTAGAGGAGTTTATCACAGCTGGATTTCCTTTCAACGTGTTCATTGAAAAGGGACCTTTTTTTAGAGATGTCCTCCAATGCATGTTTGTTTTGTTCAGCCAAAGTCCTGCCAGTCTTCATCGGAGACATTAAACGTTTGTTTTGTTTGTGATTTTCAGAAACCAGGTTGTTTCACCGATGTGCCAAAGATGAATTTCAGCTTTCATATCACTGCCTCGTCCTATAATGTCTGTTAGAACAAATGTGGCTCACTTTTTGCTGGTCATATGAAACCTTTGTAAATATGTAAATGAATACATTATTCACAGTGAGGGAAAAAACAACCTCATCTTAGAATAGTTTAAGGGGTCGGTGACCAAAGGTTGCACACATTTGCTCACCAATAGACACATAATCATGTTGAGAATAATGAACCATTAGATGTGGGATTACAAACCACATCAGAGCAGCGCTACGAATGTCAAGGCAGTGACTTACAGCAGTTTAAGGCTTGTGTGGGATTTGAAGGGACAGTTAATCCACAACAAAGAAATTCACTGACTTTTAAACTTCTTTTTCCCCCATTTTGGTCGAGTCTTGTGTAGCTTCTAAACAATTTTAGAAATGTCATAAAGCATTTTGTGTTTAGGCAGATTAAGTCAATTAGATAACAGACGCTGTGCACCAGACAGCACATTGTGCTTTAAATAGCTTTGCGTAGAGCGTCAGGGTTCTTTTCATGTATCAACATATCTGAATGTAACTAAAGACTAAAGGGAACGTGTGTGTATAATGTAAATAAAAATGGCTGCACTTTTTATCCGTGGTTTTCAAATGACAAAATAACTACAGGAGTCGGTGACTGGAAAGAATTTTTTTTTACTCTGCATTAATTTTCGAAAGGGCAACAATAAACAACCATTCATTTAATCAACACAATGGCTTTTACATGCAAACAGCATCATCATTATAGAATTCTTACATCAGGCAAATAACTTTGGCATTAAAGATTTACTGTGAAATCCCTCAAAAGCAACAATTTTAGATTCCTGCGGCCTTGATAAAGACTTTAATACGGATGATTCAGTTAATCGTTGCTTAAATTTCCCAATTACATGCAGGAACCACGTCTCATGTTCACATTCTTGTGAGATAAATACTAAATATTTTCAATTATAAATCTTTAGAGCTGGTAATTTCTTTAACAATTGTTAGACTTTTTAAGGCACTTTTGGGATCATAGAGTCAAAGTCTACTTGGGGCAAAAATGAAATAATCTAATGTGAAAGAAATACCATCGCACAGAGTAGAATACAAAAAAATGTTGACGTATTTTCTGTAAATGCTTTGCTAAGCGTTTGAGTATAAATGACTTAAGCTGCCAGACTACAGTACAAATCTACCTGCTGTGCATGTGTGCAGAGGCCCCTAATAAAAGCAGCATATTAACCCAAAGGCACAAAATATATTTATATGAAATTTAAAAAAAATTACAATCCCACAAAAATAAATCACACACAGTTTTTAGGAGCAACACAAATCGATGGTGTAATGTGGCACCAGTAGAGATTAGAATCTCAGATTTCTCCTTGTAGAACACAAATCCAACCTTCTCCAATCATGACTAAACACATTAGGAGTTACTTAACAGGCAACATGTTTAAAGGTTAAACTGAGATAGGAATATATCATTTTTATAACATTCACCTTATCCGGTAAACAATCCTGTATTTACGTAAACGTTTGTAGGAAAATAATCTCTGATAAAGAGCTGTGAATCAGAAAATATATTTGTCTAAAATATTTTTTTCTGTGCGCAACGTAGCAGCCCAAAAGTATGATTTAATCCTCCTAATGTTAGTCTAAGGCTTAAGGTGAAAAAGCTGCTGAACACCCTGAGCTTATATTACTTTGGCTTCTTATACATAGTTTATCAGAACAAAAACATGATATGCATTTTTCCTGTAGCATATAGCAGACAAAAATATTTAGATTATTAACGTGAACAGCATCTTGATTTAAGTATTGATCAGTTTGATGGACAATAAACATGATTAACGTTCCCGTTTCTACGGCTGTGGAGACGTGTTCCTGACAGCGTCCCTCGCTGGGCGCGTCCACCGCGCCGCCATTAAACGCAAAGACCTCAGCTGGGATCGAAGCACAGGCACTGGTCAGTGGAGCGGTGTGTGTCAGTGTGTATGTCAGTGTGTATGTCTGTGTGTGAGAGAGAGAGAGAGAATGTGCGCAGGAAGAGCCGGACAAGCATTAGCACAGCACACAAGCGATAATATAACCTAAATATGAAAACCCCGGGCCCGTTACCCCCAATTACTCAAAGCAATGCGAACCTGCAGATTAATCAGAATACAAAAAAAACAATACGATAACGTAAAAAAATAAAGACAAACAACCCAAAAGGGAAAAGGATGATTCTCCTCAGGGGGGCTGCAGGTGTTCGGGTTTTACATGATGGAGCAGTTCTCCGGTTTGATTCCGCCCTGAAGGAGGAAGAGACGCATTGCTGCGTTAAAAACAACAAGGACACAGGACGAAGGGAGAGACGGGACACACAAACTTGTGTGTATATCGACTCTTATCCATTCTTCTCCGCACGATGGACTGAGCCCCGGTCGAGGAAGGAAAACAGATTTCCTTTCAACAATCGACAGATCTTCAATATTTGCTTCTGCATCGTTTGTTCTTGTATTTAAAACAGAAAATGAAACGTCACATGCCGACTCCGTGCCATCACCCCACAGGACTTGAAACATCTGGAACACCTGTGTGTTATTGTGGTACAGGAAACTGTTGATTATTTGTTAAGTGTCTGTTGAGCCACAGGAGGGGGTTTCACTAATTACTTTTAATTCATGCTAATTAATGCAAGGCCAAACTGCTCATCCGCCCGGTGCAGAGTTTAGGATGTAGCGGTGAGGTTTCGGATTTGGCCGGTGTGATGGAGGACTACAGAGGCTGCATCTTTCCTGAATGATTTACAGAAAGTGCTTCATAAAAAGGGCTCAACGTGTCAGTGGGACTAAGACACTTGACGATTGATCGGCGAGACGTCTCAAGGACCCTCGCGGGACCTTTGGTCCGAGCGAGGAGGTGCTCATGCAGTGTAGTTACATAACTGTACCTGTCTGGGCTCGTTGGTCCCCATGAAAGAGGAGTGTCCCACGAGGCCCTCGGGGAGCCCCCCGCTGCTGCCGACGCCCGAGCGTTCCGCGGTCTGCCCGCAGGAGTCGCAGATCACCGTGCGGCTCCGGAGGTTGTACTCTCCGCCACTCGTGCTGTGAGCTCCCTGCGGGGGGGGAAGACGGGGGGGGGCACACAGAATAGGGTACTTGCCACTGCTGCTCAGCTGGGGGAAAGCGACAGGAAGTGACTGAACGGAGGAGGAACTCACCATGTCGTCATTGTCGTCGTCATGGAACAGGGTGCGTGTCACTTTCCTCATGGCCATTTCCTGATGGGACAAAATGTTTTGAGTATTCATAGTTTTGTTTAAAAGAGAAAGAATGCAAAAGGAGAATGCGGGTGAAGCCGGACCTCTCCGTTGGCGCTGATGAGGGAGGTCTGCATGAGGTCGCCGGTGCCCCAGGAGCTCTGGTTCTTCCACACCAGGTCAGAGGGAGGGTTGTGGGTTCCGCCGCCGGAAGCAGCCCAGATCTGCAAAGGTGGGAGTTTGCAAGAGATTGTCGACTTTTAATAGCTTGCAAACTGCTCATCACAAATTAAGTTCTCTTCAAATAGAATGATTCTGTTTGCATTTACAAGAGTCAAACGAACAAAGAGACCAAAATAGACAAAAGTAGAAAAGTTGGTGTTTCTTACAGTGACAGTTCCTCCGGCCTTCAGAGTGAACTTGGAGGGAAACTTGTAGACGATGGGAGTAGAGGTACCGACTTGCCTCTTCACCTGCCAGTTGCCCAGAGATTGGTCCTGCGTGAGAGAAACAAGGAGAGAGAGAGAAAGAGGACGGGAGAAAACGTTTAAAACACTTCAAAATGTCACAGCTGAAGCATCAACACTTTCTAAAATGAGGTTATCACAAGGTAAACACTTTAGCAAAATGGGCGGCGTGAAAAAGCCCTTGAGACACGTCAAAGCGTTTGGAAAGACTCACTGACCTCATCGGCCTTGTTGCTGAGGCGGATGAATTTCCCCTCCAGGTCCACCTCGTCCACCGTGATGCGGCCGCTGGCTGAGGCTTGCTGACTAATGCGAGTCTTGGTCACAGTGCCCCCCACCATGCTGGAGGTCTCGCTGTCGTTGCGGCGGCGCTTCTTGGCGCTGGCCGTGCCCGAGGAGTTGCGGCTGCTGGATGCGGCGCCGGCGGCGGCGCTTTGGAGCAGGCGGCTGGTGTGGCTGTGACCCGAGCCGGAGGAGTGGACGGCGCGGCTGAGGAGACTGTGGCTGGATCCGGAGGTCCTGGACACTGTGACCTTGGCTGTAGGGCTGGGGGACAGACTCAGCCTGAGGGACAGGAGAGCAGATGATGGGTTTGGATTAAAGCGGTATCACCCTTTTTACTGCACTAACTACCTCTAGACCCTCTGGTGCCTCAAGGTCCATGTTTGATGATTAAGCTTCCATTTGTAAAAACCTCACCTCTCCTCCTCTCCCTCCAGCAGCTTCCTGTACGCATTAATCTCCATGTCCAGGGCCAGTTTGATGTCCAGCAGCTCCTGGTACTCGTCCAGCTGCAGCAGCAGCCGCGCTCTGATATCAGCCATCTCCCGCTCTTTATCCTCCAGCCGCCGCCGCATCATGTCCCGCTCCCTCGCCATAGCCTCCTCCAGCTCCCGCACCTTGGACTCGCTGGCTGACAGCTGATCAAAGAGACCGCGCACACGGGGGGGTTTGTCAAATACGACAAGTTCGACACGGCAAGCCTGCTTGATGTGTCGGGTGAACCTCAACGGTAATCAATGAAGTTCGATCAGCCGCCCAGCAGCGTGGCCAGTGGAGCAGACTGTGTGTGTGTGTGTGTGTGTACCTGTTTCTGCAACAGGCTGAGCTGGCTCGACATGCCCTCCACTCGCACACGGGTCTGCTGCAGCTCCTCGTGAGCGGCTCCCACCATGTGGCTGTTCCTGTCCGCCGAATGACGAGCGTTCTCCAGCTGAAGACAGGATAAAGTCCATCAGCCGCGGCTTAAAATGAACGTGATCCTCACGTATACATCCACATTTTACCCACCCAAAGCATTTAGGGGGCTGTTGTGAGGCACCGTAGGAGGGTGGGGGGGGTACTACAACTTGGCCCTCAGTGTCTCACTGAAGGACACTTCATTATGCGGCGATCAGACCGCTGACCTTGTGATTAAAGGACGACCCCCTTCACACTGAACCACAGGGGCCACTTCCTGCACTGAGCCACCTGGCAAAGACTGAGCGGTTTGAAATACAGATTATTAACCCGCGGTTGTGTCACCATGGAAGGAATGAAATATTTTCTGTTGAGGAAACATTAACTCCCAAAAGAGGATTTTAGTTTCTAGTAAAACGAGTTAATGTGCGGTTTTATTTACAAGTAAATTCTGCTGCGTTTATCCACATTTCTCCCACAACACACCGATTATGGCTGTTAAATGAATTCCCCCTGTGTGACGATAAAAGGATAGAGGCCAGCGAAAATAAGTATTTAATGCACTTAGAGTGAAAAAGCATGTTAATCAATACGCAATACCTCAGCTGTGGTTATCGGAGTGCTATCAGCTCAGTAAAGTCGTTTGCAGAAGCAAAACATCTAAACTCAAAGCGGATCTGCCCGACAGTCTCCACTCGGCCTGTAGGTGGCAGCAGAGCGCCGCCTGCTGCAGCATCCAGACTCACCTTAGAGTTGTAGGTCTTCTCCACCTCCTCCTTGTAGAGGCGGACCTGCTCCTCCTGCTGGGCTCTCATCTCGACCAGAGCGGCGGCCAGCTTGCTCTCAAATTCCAGCCGCTGCCCGCCGTCCAGCTCCACCACGTGCGACTCGAAGCGGCGCCGGGACTCGCGCAGCTCCTGGAGGCAGAGGATGGGGATCAGTCTCAAGAGCATCTCCTTTTATCCTGGTGAATAATCCAACTGGGAATCGTGTCCACAAGAAGCTGGTCCGACTGTCAATTTATTTTTTAGACGACAATTTGTATTGACATTTGGATTATTTTCAAGCACTATAAAACAAATTAAAAGACCTGCAGAAACCGGTTATAGTCAATAAACTTAATTGCATTGATTAGTTAGTCGCTGTGCAGTAATTACTTGTTTACAAGTGCAGAGCTTCAGCACAGTTATCTACCCTGGTGACCTTTAACAAACTCCTAATCAATACGTTTAAATTTGAAAAACGCCAAATCCGATGCCAGTTTAGGTAAGAACATGAGTACGACCAGAGCATGGTGAGAAAATAAACCCAATCAATTAAATAGAATTTGCATGGAAATGAGCTGGAATAAAATAGAAAAGGGAAAAAGCAAAAAAAATAAGACAAAACAAACTAGCAAGGATGTTGGAAGAGAATCAACATTTTGTGGAAGAGATGAAAAGTCGCACAGCTGAACAGAAATAGAAGGGTTCAGGTGAAGAGTAGAAACCTCGTTGGAGATGTTCTTCTGGAACTCCAGCTCCTCCTTCACGGTCTGCAGGCGGTTCTCGGCGTCCACTCTCCTCAGCATCTCATCCTGCAGCTGCCTCCTGGCATCGGTTAAGCTGCCTTCCAACTGGGAGGGCGAGGGAAAAGAAAAGAGGAATCAAACACAGCTCGAGGTGTAATCAGATCAGGCATTCTTTAGTGTTAAGAGTGTAGCCAGTAGGTGGCGCAGGGCCACAACTCCATCGACAGCAGTCCTTAAGTAAACCTCATTGACAAAGCAAACAGCAGAGAATGCAACTTCATTCAACCTGGACTGCCCGGTGGGTTTACATGAATCCACTACTTCCGGCCGCCTCGTTTCAGGAGGTCGTCCACGGCAACCTCACTGCGGACTGCTGCGTTTCATTTGCAGCAGAACATGTTTTCTGTGACGTTTAAGGTAGACGTCCTCAAAATGCTGAAGTCACTCTGACATTACGCAACAAACATGCATTCATGTCATTTCTCCGTGCTTTCTGACCCAGTTTGTATTGGCCCCCGAGGCGTGGAGCGGCCTGGAAACAACAGCGACCACGTTAAGAGACGCGCGCGTTACCTTGGCCAGCTGGGCCTTGAGCTCCTTGAGCTCCGCCTCCACGCTGCGCTTCTCCCCCATGGCGGTGGAGAGGGAAGCATCTTTAGAGTTCAGCAGGGCCTCCAGGTCCCTCAGCCTGAGCAGAGCCGCCTCCAGGTCAGACTCCTTCTTGCCGTTCCTGGAAAGACACGAGACAAAGAAGGTGTGCACGTCAGTCTGTTGTCCCTTCATTCATTATGGCTTCTTCATTCAGACTTTCGTTAAAGCTGATCAAAGGTTACCCGACTCCCACTCCCTGGTTTTTAAATTATTAAAATAATTTCTTAAAATCGTTGTGAAGGTGGTTATTAAAATAAAGCCACGTGTTATTCATGCACAATGGTTTTCGGTAAAAGGTTTAAATAGTCTATTCCCTCCTCCGGTAAATTGGGCCATTTGGGTTCAAGCCTGCTGAGAAAAGATTAATACTACACTGAGAACACGTTCCTTTATTTCTACCAGGAGTGAAACTTGAGAAGCGCCGGAGAGCTGAGCTGCAGCGACAGACGCTGCGGACTACACAAAGCCACCATTGTACCGAGCCCAGCAGTTGTTGTAACTGAACTTAGTCCAACACATCCACGTGCCGTTATCAGGGCTTGGGTTCCTTTGGTTGGAAGGAAAGTTACTTGGATACGGCCATGGAAAAACAATAAATACGAGAGAGGGAGAGAGTCAGCAGTGTAGGTGGCTCATGCAGAGTCATGGAGGAAACGAGTTCCCTCCCATTCTACTGGGCCCTCTAGGCCAGTCTTCATTGTCTCTAATGACGGCCATCTGCTGGGGGAAATGGCTTCCAGGCTGCTCACACAGACCTCGGTCCTCTGGGCTCCGCTGGGACAGAGCAGGGCACAAAGTTGCTCCTCGGCGGACTGACCATTAACAAAGAAGAACATTCACAGGCCTCAGAGGTGCAAAGGTCATCTATGGGTTTAGGGTAGCGAAAGCAAGCTCATTAATGAGAAGAGCTGTGATTCTGCTGCCTGAGAAGAGAACGATAGGAAGAAAAGCAGGACTTCGATGTGGTTTTTCAAGTAAAGCCAAAAAAAAAAAAAAAAAAGTAAAATCAAATCCAGACAGAATATTTGTGATTCTTTACAGATGTACAATCGAGCTTGGAGAACGTTAAAGGGGTAATTACAAAAGAGCCTCATTGTTCAGCTTTAAATGTAAAAAGCAGCTCAGTGGGTCCAAAGCAAATAACAATCACGTGCAAACACTCAAATAGCGTTTTTACCTAATAAACTAGCAAACAGTCTATCGACCAATATGTCAACATAAATGTATTCTCTAGTAGTTCAAATAGTTTATCTACTATTCAGCTTGTGGTTGAACAAGTTCTGTTGAACAACGTTCATTGTGCTGTTCAGTTGCATCATTTTTTCAACCACATTTGTATCCATGATAAGTAAAGAAATGTTTGACGTGGAAAAAAGAATGTGACTTTTTACAGCCAAGGTGTACAAGTGCTTCAGATCTGTATCAGCAGTGGAACACCTGCAGTTCTTACCTACAAACACCCGAGCTGACAGTGAACATGTCAACATGTCAAGGCAGATGAGTAACCAGGGTAAAGTGAAATATGGTTAGTGCTGTAAAACGTATAATCTTTACAGTTTAATAACTGCTGGTCGGCCAAGGCTTCGCTAACTATGAGGCTTCGGATGCTGTGGAACATTTTAAATTCACACCAACGCTGCTCATTAAGTAATTACGGAGCGCAATAATAAACCCAAACAGCTCGGAGACAAAGCGAGACGTGTCCGTTTTTACGTAGAAGGGCAATCTAGTCTAAATGCATTAGTGATGTGTGTACACACACACACACACACACACACACATAACGGTAGGTAAACATTACATGAAACTATGGAGACCAAACTAATTAACCGTATGATCGAACAAAAAACTACAGAAGTGTTCTTTTAGAAAAGTTGTAACCAGGGGGAAACGTCTGGTTCTGGAAAGAGAAGCAAACAAAGTGCCTTAAAGCTGCATTTCCTCTACTGACCACCAGGGGGTGAAGGAGGGTGTGGCTACCTTGTGATTGACAGCTCTCTACCACAGCGTTGTGGGGTCTGGGAGGAGTCCACGTTTTCGTTTTAGACCTCAAACCCTTTCACACAAGGTTTACAGTTCGAGGACTTTCAGGCCAAACCATCAGAGAGATTTTAAACATTTCATGCAAAGGTCAGACCGCCAACACAACCAACACACAGAGAGAGTCCCAGGACGCTTGTGTACAGCAGAGGGGGGGGGGGGGATTAGTAAAGAGTCTTACATTTCGGTTTTAATAGTATAAAGAGACCTCTGCCCTAAATGCAGAAAATGGATGAACAGTGTAGTTCTGGGTACCTGTGTACTGATTAATATTAATATTATATTAGCAACTCCTGCATCTCATGGGTTGCATATTTTGGTAGTTTACTTTTGGTCCCAATACCGAATCTCTTTTAATTTAAGTCTTTTGTCGAGAACAGCAGTGTGAGGTTCTGCAAAAAAAACAAAAAAAAAATCAGCTGACCACCCTGTAAACCTGCAGCCAGCATGGGCGAGGATAGCGTAGGTCAATGCAAGGTCATGAAGAATAATTTAACTCTGTAAATTCATGACAAGAAGTAGCTCAGAAGAGTTCAAGAGCAAGATTTTAACCGTGACCTAAAAAACAGACATGATTAATAACTAAAATAAGTCTTATAATAAAGCACAATAACCAAATTTTGTAGCCAATATTTCAATTTACAATGCAAATATTAACCGGCACAAACTATCAACTGCCAGAACAACCAGTGCAGTTTGGACTCGTCGCCACAGCACAGCACAAATGTTCTTAAGATTGAATGTGGTTCATGATAACGGCGCCCGTTGGAAAAGAAAAAAAAACAGGCCGTGGCTTCTGAATGCAAACGGCAGCACGTTGGAAAAGCTCGTCAGTGGATGTGTTGGCATTTCTCTGTGGGCGTATTTGTGCGCGTTTGAGTCGGTTCTGCACTGCGTGGGAGTGTTGGCTGTAAAACCTGTGTGAACCACCTTGTGGTTAAGTGCATGCGTGTACTGCATGTTTGAGTGTCCATACTGTGCATCTGATATGTTCGTGTGCACATGTCGCTCTTGTATATGATTTACATAATCCAGTGCAGGGAGTGCGTGTGGGCCATTTGCTTTAGACTATCCGTTTATATAAACCAGTATGAAGAGCGTAATCAGAGGCCCCGGCATAAATACCCTCTGACTTCATGTTTACATTTGGTTCCATAAAAAGCCTGGCAGCCTGCGCTCGTAGCACACGTGAGGAGTCTCTGCAGTTACTTCCCTATTAATATTTACAAAACAATACACCGTCAGCATGAGACCAAGTACTGAGAATGGCTGCGAGCCAACAGATGAGCAAACAATCAGATTACATTTGGGAAAATTAGAAAGATTAAGCCCAAAAAGAATAGCAGCCGGTTTCATCAAGACAAGGGAAATCTGCAGCAAGTGTAAACAAGGCAGAGTGGTTTCTGAGAAGAACGTTGTGCCGAGAGAGCAGCTCTGGCCTATTTACATTGTGCTGTGAGAGAAGGAACTGAAAAAGGGAAAATTAGGTACATTTGGGAAGCGTAGACCACCTCATTCCTCCCCCCACACGCACACAAATGTCTGTGACTGTTTCACACGCCCATTCCACCCTTTTTAAGCAACCATATTAGAACTTCGAAACACATTTGGTTACAGAGCAAATTACACATTTCAAAGACAAAATGTGAGTCATGGGGGAAGGAGGAGACTGGTGTGTGTAGATGGAGATGTGAGAAGAAAGAGGAAAAAAGAAAAGCGGGAGAATAATGGAGACGGGAAATGTGAGGAGGAGGAATGTGTTGGCTCGGCGCCCGGCCTCTTGGATGACTCACAGCTATCTTTGTCCGTCCCAGTGAGGAGAAACGTTCCTCGTGGAGCGAGAGAGAGAGAGAAAAGAGACCGCCACACACCCCGCCCCCTATTTTGCTATGCCGTTGCTGTGGTAACCAAGGCCTTGTCGACAGGCCAGCCAGTATGCAGTTTCTAGCATAGTGCCGACGCTACAGAATTACAAAAAATATTCAAAGTACCTCCAATAAGAGGGTGCGGTTTCTTTTGTGCTCTCCTTAAGTCAATGCCATAATTTCTACGAGATGGCCGAATTACTGCAGCCACTTTGCAGGATTGATGCAAAGCAGTTGAATTACATATTTAGACATTTTAAAGATATTCTGAAATTTTAGTTGAGTGGGTCAACGTGGTGCACTAGTCGGTCCTGAATATGGCTGCACAGTTCAAACACATCACCTTCCTGGCCGTCTCTGCAGGCTTTGATGTAATCGCCTCAGATCTCCGCTCCCGCCACAATATAATTAAGGGGAATGGCAAATTAGTTTAATTCGTGATTCAATTCGACATCTTTCCGGTAATAACGTCCTCATTCGTCTGGATAATTCACAGAAGTCAGCATCAACAGTTATCAGGATGACGAGTAGAATAGCGTACAGCGTGCTCACATTTACATTGTTTGAAGCATCACAAAATAAATTCACCTACATCTGACTGGGGCGGAGGCAGAAACCACAGATGTGAGTATGTTTAACCATAGGCCAATAGCACCAGTTTGAGTAGAGGGATTTTTTAAAATTGTTATCTTTTAAAGGAAAGTTATTCCCATTTACAGAAAAGGGAAAGCAGCAGCTGGGGATTGAGATACCTACATGTGCACACACACACACACACACACACACACACACACACACACACGCACCTGGGAGCTGCTGCTTTGTGCCGTTTACCAGGGAGCAGCCCCCCTGCAGCAGTCGGGGGTTCAGTGCTTTGCACACGGACACAGCTGCTGAGCTGTAGAGGAGGGTCGGGGGGGGTGTTGCATCTCATTCACCCATGAGGTTTCTCTCTGCAAGAGGCCGCTATAGTAAAGACCAATTCATCCCTTCGTTCATTTCCTGTCGTACTGTTCAAACAATTTCTCTGACGTGCAGAAAAGTGTTGATTCATACGGCATGTTCTCTCACACACACACACACACACACACACACACACACACACACACAGGGTGGGGTTTCCTGATGACTCACAGCTAGAGACAAGGGGGTAAAAAAAAAAAAAAATGGTTTA